TTTTTAAATTAACTGGAGAAAGAAGCAGAGACAGCGTGAAGAGTATTGTGTTTTTTTTGAACATAGCAAGTTATTGTGACCTTGAGTACGCTGCTCAACAGAACTCGAGAAGCAGATTTCATTGCAATGGGGCAGAAAACATCAAAGGAGACCATTCGAACTATCGTGTTTGTGCCAGCCCGGTATCCATCCATGAGACCCACTGTCCCCTGCCAACAGCCCCCAACCCCACCCCGCTACAAGTCCCCACCGATTTCTCCATATCAAGCTTTTGCCCAATTCCCTTGAGACAGTCGCTAGTGAACCTGCTCCCAACTTGGGCAGCACTTTCAAGATCACTGTGTTAAACAGAGACGGTATTTTTTGCGAAATGTTCGAACATGTTTGTGCTCCCTGTGGCTTACAGAACACCCTCAGCCACCCCTTGAAATGGCTTCTCTTTATCCCCTCCATCAAAACTCCCTCAGGGTTTTGAAGGCCGCGATTGAAGCGATCCTATGATCCCCTCATGTTGGAAAGGTGGCTTGGTCCCGGACTGTTCAGGACCCACTGTTTACCTTGGAAACCCCTCGCTCGCCTGCTGCTTTCCCTTTCGGCATCACAGTTGTTGTAGATGGTCTCGTTCTCCCTATGGCCACGGAGAATGTGGAAGTTGGTGTACGTTGGCTCGTGAGGCATGGCCTCAGACATGGTGTGGATCTGGCCAGCTCCAACAGAAAACCCTTCAGCAAGGCAGAGTATTCAGTTGCTAGTGAAGTGCTCGATGTGAGCTAATTGTGCATTACCTTTCAGAACAAGTGGGCAGGGCACTTAAATTTGTGTTTCTTGCATCATGTTTGACTCCGAACGCACTTTTTCTGAGAGATGCTGATATTATCTCCCATACTTCCTGTGATTTGCTTATCTCAGTGAGGTATCAGCAAAAAAAACGGACTGCTATCAGAAATGATCTCTGCTTTACAATTTTAACCTTTCTCAATCACTTTATATCCCTCAGCATGGGGAGCAGTGGGGAGGGGGGAAGAGATGGTTGAGTTCAGGGATCGTTTTGTGAGTTTCTTCCTGAATGGAGTCTGTTGTGAGTTGGATAAAGGCCAGAGATTCCGTTATTCTGCCCTAGCAGCAAGATCTGGTCCAGTCTTAGAGTGGTGTGCTCACTATAGGAGGCAGTTCGACCTTTAGAAGCCATTACCACAACCAGTGGGTGGGCTTCACACACATGATTTAATTACTCCAGAATCAAGCAAGTTTTCAATTACACGACCAACTCCCAATCAACTTGGCATAGATCAGGAACCTGGTACTGTACCATTCCCGCCAACTGAATACAATGCAGGAAGAGTCTATTTGGCCCATTGTCTCTGTGCTGGCTGTGGAGAGAGCTAGCCAATTAGCCTTACTCTCCCTGGCCTTTCCCCAACCTGCCTTTCTTCAACGTGTCTCTATCCAATTCACTTTTGTAAGTTACTATTGAATATGTCTCCTTGACTGAGTTCATTCCAAACCAGAACAACTCATGGGTGATTTCCCTTGTTGTTCTTTTACTAACTAATCATTAATGTTTGTCCTTTGCCATACTGGAAACAGTTTCTCCTCACTTACCTGATTGTAACAGTGGATCATTTTTAACATCCAACTTTCTCCTTCAAGCAGAATGCTTCCACTTCCTTAACATCTCTCTCTCTTCAATCAATTCCTTCTTGCATTTTCTCTCTTCTCACACCATGAATAATGTGGGCCACAGTGAGGTAGCCAGGAGGTAGTCAATGAGGAGCATCTCAACATTAAGATCCAACAATCCCATTATCCAAACAAGTGTTGAACAGTGAGACCAAGTACTCACTGGTGAGCAGCGAGAGGCCAATTTTCCGTGAATTATCACTTATTGAAAGCTGTGTTATTGTTTAATCTGCCCTCATTGGTATAGATTCTCCCAGCCTCCCCACTGCCTGATAGAAACTAAACGTTGACAACCCCTGGCATGAGAGTCCAAGCGGGTACCTGGTGACTGCTGTTTGCGCTTTATCTCAAACACCCATCACCAGCGTCATAGAGTGTGTGCCATGTGCAGTGGTGGCACGTCACCCATGTCCATAAATATTGGCATTGACACTTACCAGCCCCACCCCATTATCGCGGCACATATCAATCCACACACAGAACGCTCTGTGCTTTGGGGCACCCTGGTATCTCTCTTTGCAATTACACATGGACAGACTAGGCTGCATCTCAGAGTGTCTTAGCATTCCCTCATTCTACTGCAATGCTCACCTCTTTCTTCGCATTTCACCCCCTCAGTTGCATCCTGCCTTGTTGTTTAGTGCAAATATAAAGCCAAGTGGTTTGTGGTGGTTGTCAGCGGGTTCCTCAGTTGTACAGTGTTGTGCTGCATCAATTTCACACCTGTGTCATGTTCCAGCAGTACACAGAAGATACATTACACATATGCTTCAATTCAATTACCCCATCTCAAAGCTGTGTGGTCCTCAGCCAAGTCAAAGAGGGTGCTGCCATCAGTCAGGGGGGTTGGTGGTACAGCTATTCAGAGGCATCGTGCAATCAAAGTCCTGGGGCGGTCAGGGTCAGGAGCTCTGTCTCACTACTGTCCTGGGACAGGGCCACAATCAGTCCTGCAAGTCCAGTGCAAACCATCAAGGGATCTGCAGGCCTCTGGTTGGGGATGGGTGTGGAGATCAGTCAGGATCCAGATCCATTCATTGCAATAAGCCCCAAAGCGTGCTGCATATTATAGCACCCTGTGCTCCACACAACTGGAACAGCAGGGTGACGAGCTGGTGTGATGGATGCTGTTGAGCTGGTAGAGCAGGAGGAAGATGAGAACGTTAAGCAGGAGGAGCCTTACCCTTTGCATCAAGACAGCACAACAGCATCGGGTGTTCCAAGCCAGAGAGAGGCTGAGTGACACTTGGTTCTAGCCAATGGGAGCTGGTTGCAGCGTTCACTCACTCATTACAACAGTGCAGGTACTTGAAAGGCAACCTGTCTTTATCTGGTTAAAGGAAGCTTCCATTTGTTGACTTTTGCTGTGACTGAATAAAATTGAATGCACTGAAATGTTCGAAAGCTGGCTTGTATGTGTTGGCCCCACACAGAACAATGAGAAAATGCTGGGCTACACTGAGCATTAGAGAGAGAGTAACATTGACCTGGAGATAAACGGTGACCTAGAGATAGTTGGAAGATGAGTTGGGGCTAAGGACAGGTGAGTTGTGTGGCCTGGTACAAAAACAGCAAAACATAGAGGGAGGCCCGGTTGGACATGCAATGAAGTGTTAACTGTGTGCCCTGAGAAGCACTAGTTTGTGATTGCTGTCCCACTTGACCTTCAATGAAGGGTAACTCTGGCTGCCAATACTGACTGGGTGTATGGCTGCAGTTCAAAGATGGCATTGGTCCTAGGGTCCATGGGAGATTCTAGTTGTGGCTGGGAGTACAGGATGAGGCTGGTATCATGCTGGTAATGTGAGTGGCTGATGAGGTACAATTGGGACAGTCCATAGAACACAGAACGTAGAACAGTACAGCACAGTACAGGCCCTTCGGCCCACGAAGCATGTGAAAACCAGCTACGTCTCGTAGAGAGAAACCCTCCACAAAACCCGGCCAAAAAAAATGACACTTTGCTGACTTCTGGTAGCTTTCAGCCCAATATTTTCCCCTTTCCATCCATCAGTTGTGCTGTTTTAAAGCACAGTTCGTGTTCAGGCCTGTGGCAGTCTAGTTAACCTTGCTAATTACCTCTTTGCCCTCAAACTTTGGGAAGTCCGCATGACCTTCGAGCGGGGTTAAAGATTTCACCTGCCTCTCAATAGCATAATGAGAATGTGTCATCATCATTGAAGGAATTCAGTTGGACCGTCAAATGTCACTTCAACGTTCACTCAATTCCAAGTACCATGGGCTTCATCAATAAAGCCATTGGGCAAGGTGTCTGCCATTTCAGAGTTAAGACAAAGACATTGGCAGGGGTCAGGCGTGACCAGAACATCACCTGCAACCTGATTGACCCACAGTAAAAGGGAGAGAGTCCCATTCCTGTAGTGGTCATGCAGATCTCCGGTATGTTTACACCCACTGGGGTGGCAATGTCAAAACCAAGGCAGGTAGACTTTGTTAGGCAAGGCCATTTAGGCAGGTAATTGGAGCTATCATTCAGACCAGTCATAATCTGAACAAAGGGTGGAACAGGTTCAATGGGCTGAATGGACTCTTGTTCCTAAGCTGTTCCCTGTCTTCAGGTCAAAAAATGTCCTGCTCTAAAATTGCCTCAATCTTTTCACTCAGAATATTGATCATTCACAATGTGGTTAACCATAGAATCCCTACAGTGTGGAAGCAGGCCATTCGGCCCATCAAGTCCACTCCAACCCCTGCAAAGAGCATCCCATCCAGATCCACCACCCCCATCCTATCCCTGTAACCCTACATTTCCCATGGCTAATCCACCCAGGCTGCACATCCCAGGACACTATGGGGTAATTTCCCATGGCCAATCCACCCTAACCTACACATCTTTGTGGGTTGTGGGAGGAAACCGAAGTCCCTGGAAGAAACCCATGCAGACACGGGGAGAATGTGCAAACTCCACACAGACAGTCCCCCGAGAACCCGGGTCCCTGGCACAGTGAGGCAGCAATGCTAACCGCTGAGCCACCATGCTGCCCTAAAATGAAGACAGGAACTGTATTGCAGAAAGGAGATAATTTGAGGGGGAGAGAGTTCCAATACTGGATGCTGAGCTTTAACATGAATCCTGACCATATGTGAGGGCCATGGAATAATATTCCCAGATGTAGGACGGAAATTCCTCTCAAGACCTACCTGTGATTGGATCTGCTGGGATCCATTACTATCTCAGAACATAACCAAAGATGTAAATATACTTTGAGCCTCTTGTTTTGGCAATTGTCTGGCAGTGCCATGACTGATATGTTTTTTGATCACCTGAACTTGCAGAGGAAACTTTGCTGAGTCAAACATTAACTGTATAATCGTCATTTTTTATTACCAGCTTGAAACATCACTCATGATGCCAAAAAGAGTTTCAGACAATCCCACGGCCAGAATGATGAAGTACATACAGATAGTTTCTGCTTGCTTTCCCTTATGAGATGGTGGTCACACACCGTCACCTCATAACATGGCAGCTAACGCTGTGGGTAACTTTCACAAAGTGGTCCCTCATGTCTACACACTGCACCGGCATTTGGTGAAGAAATCTTCCTGATCTCTGAAAAGAGAGAATAACTGATGCTCAATCAACTGAGTATTTGGGAATTTGTGTGCCAAGTAGTGAAAGTAAAACTTATCTACATCTCTTCGCAAGTGGTTGCAATGTCCCTTGCACTCAGTTTGAGATGTGCTCCCTGTGTGACCATCTCTATCCCTGCTTCAAATGACCCTGTTGCTGAAACCCTTTGACAGTTCCTTTTATAACTCTCACCTTGACTATTGCAATGGTTGGTCTTCTAATCTCTGTGAACTTGATTTCACCCAAAACTCAGCGAACAACAGTGTCTAACTTGCGTCAGTGTATACACCCCAAGACGCCCATGCACATTGATCTCGGCCCTATTGTGCCTCAATTTTGAATTCTCATTCTGGTCTTTAAATCCCTCTATGGTCTTCACCCTCTCTGTCCTTGAAACCTTCTGTAGATCCACAACACTCTGACATCTTGCACAATGCAGATATATCTGCCCATTCAGCCCCCTACATTGTGCCTTCAGACACTGAGCTCCTAAGCTCTGGATCTACCCTTGCCTTCCCCATAACAATTTCATTGAACAGTAATCAAAGAGCTGAATGGCCTAATCTTGTTTCAACGTTCTCTCCACTACTCTATCTCACTGTTCCTCTAAGATTCTCCTTAAAAGTTAACCGCTTTGACCTCCATGATCTACATTTGTGACAATTTCTCCCTTATAATGCTCCCGCAAACTTCCTTGGAATATTTTGCTGCATTGGGGATGCCAAATAGATGCAAATTGGTGCTGTTGAGCTGTAAACCCAAACTATATCGTATATTGTATAAACCAGGATTTGAAACTGATCCTCAAAACATTTTATAAATCAAACAAGTGAACCTGATGGGTCTTTCTGACAATTGATAATGGATCCATGGTCATCATTAGATTCTTAATTCCAGAAATACATCGAATTAGCTAGCTATAACAGTGCAGACAAACACAGAACCTTGCATTTCAAAAACAAACTATGAAGCATCCAGTTCTGGAATATGCTGATACTTTACCACGCATAAAGCTCACGCAATTTACAAATGTACAGAAATATTACATTGTGTTGTTCACAAAATGTTCCCTTTGATTTCAAAATGTCATTCCCTCAACAGGCGGACTCTCCCCAAGACGTCATGCGACCTTTCTGACGTATAGTTAAATGTCACTGGGTCAATATATCCTGAGCTAACACCACTGTGGGTTTATCTACAACACATAGGTTGCAGCGGTTCAAGAAGGCAGCTCGCTATCACCTTCTCATGGGCAATCAGGAGAGGCAAGAAATGCTGGGTCTTGCTCACGACAACCATGTCCCAAGAATAAAAAAAATTTATTTAAAAAAAAATTTCCCTTTGGAGCGAGAACTCGTGGATATATTAGAGCCCTGCTGATCTTTTTGCTTTGATTTGACAATATAAGGCAGGACCCAGCAAGGGACTAGGTGCAGGAAACTGGCGAAATACTGCAAAAAGTAGAGTGGCTTTGTTCTTTGTAATCTACCTCCAGAAATACGCAGGAACTACCAGGGAGAGCTTAAGATACAAAGCCATTCCCTGAACAGCACTAAAATAAATCTGGAAAGGGAAACAGGCGCTTGAATGGGACACACTGGTTCCAATGTTGCAAGTTCCTTTAATTTGGCCTCCTGGTTAGACTGATGGGGTTAAGATGAAAAGGGTTTATTTTTTGTTCATTCATTCACGCGATGAGGGCATCAGTGGCTAGGCCGGCATGTATTACCCATCCCTAACTGCCCACTGAGTGGTTAAGAGACAACGACATTGCTGTGGGTCTGGAGTCACATGGAGGCCAGACCAGGTAAGGATGGCAGTTTCCTTCCCTAAAGGACATTAGTGAACCAGATGGGTTTTTCCGACAATCGACAATGGATCATGATTACACACTTAATTCCAGAATTCCATTGAATTCAAATTCCACCACCTGCCGTGGCGGGATTCAAACCCATGTCCCCAGAACATTACGTTATGAGGAGGCTTATTTGGAACATAAACACCAATCTGTGCCAGTTGGACGAAGTGGCCTATTTCTGTGCGGTACACTCCATATCACTTTGTGGCTGAATTGAATTGGAAACCTGCCATCTCTGCCCCCAACACCCCGTTCTTGCCCTGCTACTCATGATCTGTTGACAATAATGTCAACATTTGCAATGACGTTGAGTGGGTATCGGTAACTGTATCCCACACTCCAGGCGCATCGCTACATTACATTTAAGGCCCAGTCCTCACTGGTACAAAGAGGATGAACAGCAACGTCAACGTGCACTCAAGCTGCTGGAATGGAAGGAGGAGGATGACAAAAAATGTGCACATTTCCCACCTCTTCCCGATCCAGTGGGAGAAACATGGTTCTGAAAGGTCTAGGACGGCCCTTAGCAACTGTTGACCTCCACTTGACCATTTTCCACCACCAGCTGCTCGGTGGGAATGGGGGCTGTCTTGGAATTGGCCGCGAGAGCAGGACTGGATTCAGATGAAGCCTTGGGTGTGGAGCTCGATGGAGCAACGTGGTTGGAGTCTGTTGGTTGGTGATTGTCCATCAGCCCCTTGATGGAGAGCAGCAATTCCTTATGTTCTTCCTGCAGTGCAGTGAAGCGATTTTCCTGTGTTCAAACACCGAGAAACATCTGGTTAAGAGCACAGATCACAAGACCCTCATTAAAACAGCCGAAGCTGAGCTGTGCAACGAAGCTGTGCATGTTCAGGGATGAATCTATGTCTTTAAACATTCAGAATGCTTGTCCCAATTTCCCTAAAGTCTTCTGCCCTCTTTTCAAACCATGCTTTGAAGTAGGATGACAACTGTTAGCTTGCCTGGATAACTGATCTTGTGGATTAAAACCACACAATGACACAGTGCAAAAGGACACCATACAATCCAACAATGCTGCACCAACTCTTTCAAAGAGCTACACACTTGGTCTCCTTATTGTGCCCTTTCCCCAGTAGAAGAGGAGTGGAGACATTGAATTGGCTAAAAATAGATAGGAAGGTGACGCTAAACACATGGGTGGCTCAGTGGTTAGCATTGCTGCCTCACAGTGCCAAGGATCCAGGTTCAATTCCATCCTCAGGTGACTGTCTGTGTGGGTTTCCTCCGGGTGTTCCAGTTTCCTCCCACAGTTTAAAGATGTGCAGCTTAGGTTGGATTGGCCATGCTAAATTGTCCCACAGTGTCCAGGATGTGCAGGTTAGGAGGGTTAGCCATGGGCAATGCAGAGTTACAGGGATAGAGTAAAGGGGTGAGTCTGGGTAGGATGCTCTTTGGAGGGTTAGTGTGGATTTGACAGGCTGAATGGCCTGCTTTCACACTGTAGAGATTCTATGGACCACAACCTGTCGTTCTATGACATTAGCAGAGACATGGCAGATTCAGTTTAATGTAATCAGTGTGCAGTGACAGACTTTGTAAGGAAATGATATTGAGGGTTAGCAGAATCTAAATGTTGAGGGGGAACCTCAGGTGTATATTCTCAAATCCTTGAAGGTGATATGACAGTGTGCTCTGATGGTTCAGATAGTCATTGAATCATACAGCATGGAAACAGGCCTTTCAGTCCAGCTCACCCAGGCTGACCAAATTTCCCAAACTAAACCTGTCCAACTTGCCTCATTTGGCCCATATCTATCCAAACCTTTCCTATTATTGTACGCGTCCAAATATCTTTTAAATGTTGTAATTGTACCTGCATCTACCACTTCCTCTGGAAGTTCATTCCCCACACAAATCACCCTCTGTGTGAAAAAAGTTGCAGCTCAAGTCCCCTTTAAATCTTTCTCGTCTCACCGTAAAAAAGATGCCTACTAGTTTTGAACTCATCCACCCTAGGGAAAAGTCCTTTGCTCTTCACCTGATCTATGCCCGTCATGATTTTATAAGCTTCTATAAGGTCACCCCTCAAATTCCTACGCTTCACTGAAAAAAGTCCCAGACTATACAGCTTCTCCCTATAACTCAAATCCTCCAGTCCCGGCAACATCCTGGTAAATATTTTCTGAACCCTCTCCAATTTAATAATAGCCTTCTTATAGCAGGGCGACACTGTGTACACTGTACTCCAAGTTATAGCAACTGGGGTCAAATGAATCTCTTGAAGATTATAAGGGGTGTAGGGGCATTCTTAAGAGGGAAATCAGGAAGGCAAAGAGGGGATATGAGATAGCCTTGGTAGAAAAGGTTAAGGGTGATCCAAAGAGATTCTACAATTACATTAAGAGCAAACAAACAACTAGGGAGAGAATAGGGCCCATTAAGAATCAACGAGCTTGACTATGTGTGGAACCCCAGGAGATGGGAGAGATACTAAACAAATATGTGTATGGGTTGTCAGTGCCTTTGGGAATAGGGGCATTAAGAAAGTAAAACAAATCACCATGTTCAATTATGCGCTACTCACTTGAGAAAGATTGTCAAGGCACTGGAGAGAGGATGGAGAAGGATTTAGCAAACTAGGGATGTGGGAGTTCGGTAATGTGGAGAGCTTGATGGTTCTCCTTCAGAGCAGAGGGAGACCTAACAGAGGTGGTGAAAAGTCTCTGGGCAGGGAGGGTTCTGATAAAGTAAGCTGGGAGAAACTGGTTCCTCTGGACAGTGCATCGATAACAAGAGGGTCATAAGCTGAAAACGATTGGTTAAGGAACTAAAGGAGGAACGAGGAGAAATGTTTTCAGACAGAGGAGGTTTGATGAGATCTGGAGCTCACCTGAAAGCTCAGTGGAATCGGGTCCCACTGGAACCTTTCGAAGAACAATGGGACGTGTACTTAGAAAGGAATAATTTGCAGGGGTATGTAGGAAAAAACTGGAGTGTGGGATTACAGTGAACAGCTCTTTGAAAGAGTTAGCTAAATGGCCTCCAGCAGAGATTGATAGAGCTGACAAAGGGCAGCCAATACTTACCAAAGACTCAATTTTCTGCTGGTTCTGGGCAGCAAGCTCTAATTTTTCAATGTCCTTCTTCCTCTCCTCTTCAACTGCTTCAAGTCTGGAAAATTAGAAAGCATTTCGCATCAGGGTCAAGCCAGGATGATGGTAACACATACAACGGCGGGTTACTGGAAATAGGAGAGGAAGTGCCCATCAAGAGTGAGGGTAGCAGAGTAAACGTGGGCGAGTAATCCGAGGAACAGAATGCAGAGTTTGAACTTGGTTGATTCATTCGTGAGACCAAACATTTGCGCCAATATCTCACTTCTCTGTTGGATCAAGTCTGTTGGAGGTGATGGGCCTTCAGTTGGATTGGAAATATCTTATCAAATTAAGCTTGTATTTCTACTTCAACTTTCACAGATCCAAAATGTTTCATTGCCCATGTAGAGCCTTTGGAGTCATTCCTGTTCTGTAGACAAACAGTTGCAGCTAATTTGTGCACAGAAAGATCCCATAAATAGCAATGAAGCGTGTCATCAGTTCATCGGAGACAACAAGGTGTAGAGCTGGATGAACACAGCAGGCCAAGCAGCATCATAGGAGCAGAGAGGCTGACGTTTCGGGCCTAGACCCTTCATCAGATCTGTTTTTTTTTCATGAAATGGGGAGCGCGATAAATGCCAACCAGGAGACCTTTGCTACTTTTAGTTCAATCAAGATTGTCAAGGGATCTTCTCTACCAGTAGTAAAGGAAAAGCCCATGCAGCATTGACGATTAGATTTGACTAAAGTAAGAGATGAAGAACGGGGCTTGGGCCCACAAATGTCTGACTCAAGAGGGTCAATGCCGATACTCAACAGAAGTTTTAGATTCCAAACTAAATTCCTAAATACAACGGTACATCTATGACCCTGAAATATCTATGTCTCTCTAAACCAACTCAATTGCACCTCAGAGTCTCAATGAGTCACCTCATTGTGCCACTTCCTTGCTCTTTAGAGGACCTATTCAATTAGTCCCACTCTGCTTTTTCTCCATTTTGCTGTCGTAAGTGCTGCAAAGTGGGAGAAGTGTAGATAGGTCAGTGCAGATTTGAAGGGCCTTTGGTGTGCTATGTGACTCTATGACTTCCTTACTCCCTGTCCAACCTCTCACTGTGCTCTTGTTCCTCCATGTCTCTATGGGTTGCAGCTTGTTTGATCATTTTATTGGCGGGCTGCATATCCACAGCACCATCAGCTCCAACTCTGATCCTGGCTCATCTGCTGCTGAAACCGTCATCACTGACATTGACACCTTCAGATTATTCCCAAGGCTTCCTGACAGCCTCCCATCCTCCACCCTCCAGAAACGACAGCTTGATCAAAACCCAGCTGGCCATATCCTCGCTCATGCCAAATCTCACTCTGCCACCACACACCCAGCCCACCGCCCCCTCATCGACCCTTACTGGCTTTCCTCTAAAATTCTCATTCTCGGTTTTGAATCGATCCACTGCCTCAGCCCTCCCTTTCTCTGTAAACATCCTCCAGCCTCCACAAGCCGCTGAGATCCCTCTGCTCCTCCAAATCCAGCCAAGTGCACATCGCCGATTTGAATCACTTCACCACTGATGGCTGTGCCTTCATCTGCCGGGGCCCTAAGCTCTAGAATTCCCTCCCTAAACCTCTCTACATGCCCTTTAAGAAACCCTTTCCTCCCACCCCTTCTAATCAAATGTTTAAACATCTGTCTGAATACTTCCTTCTGTGGCTCATTGTCAAGAATGGCCTTTTGTTATGTACTTTGTGGAGTTTTTTTTATTAAATGAGCTATATAAATCCAAGTTGTTGTTGAGATTAGCACTATTTCCCACCCACTGCTCCTGCTGAACACAACTCAAGTGAGGTTGTCCCAGAAATTAACACAACAGTGGTTTACCAACTCTGCATTACACTCCACCCTGAGAGAAAGCCACAACTAAGCCATAGCTTCAGACACAGGTTGAGAAGCAGGTTTGAATTAGAGTCCTAGAGTCATACAGCGCGGAAACAGATCCTTCGGTCCAACTAGTCCATGCCGACCATAATCCCAAACTAAACTATTCCCACCTGCCTGCTCCTGGCCCATATCCCTCTAAACATTTCTTATTTATGTACTTTTTTAAATGTCTATCAAATATTGTAACTGTATCCACATCTACCGCTTCCTCTGGAAGTTCATTCCACACCAAACCACTATCTGTGTAAAAAAATTGCCTCTCAAGTGTTTTTTTAAATCTTTCTCCTCTCGCTTTAAAAATATGCCCCCAAGTCTTGAAATCCCACCCCCCCGCCGGGAAAAGACACCTGCCATTCACCTTATCCATACCCCGCATTATTTTATAAACCTCTACAAGGTCACCCCTCAACCTCCTACACTCCAGTGTGCACTCTCCAGTCTCTCCCTATAACTCAAACCCTCCATTCCCAGCAACTTCCTGGTAAATCTTTTCTGAACCTGCTCTAGTTTAATAATACCCTTCCTATAACAGGGAGACTAGAACTGGACACAGTACTCCAAAACAGGCCTCACCAATGCCTTGTACAATCTCAGTTGACTTGGACAGTGAGCTATTCACAGATCAACGCATACTCACCTGGTGCTCAGATCCTTTATTTGCTTGTCCTTCTCCTCCAGTTGGGCTTTCTGCCTCTCTTTGTTCTCCTGCAGCACTCTCTGAACATGCTCGTCAACATGGCTCTTAAATTGCTTCAGTTCCTCGTTGATGGTCTGCACATTTTGCTGGAGGCTCGAGATGTCTTGTTCATGCTGGGATAGGGAATGGGGAGGAGGGGTGAGGGAATCGGAGGGGGGAGATGTTATTAGTTTCTGTGCATGGATTTGAACATTCAGCTCTTCCAGGCCAGCTGGGAATTCTGGGAAAGGGAGCTAACCTACAGTCAGAGAATGTGACAGATTTGAACCAAAGCAGACTGGTCCCAACTTTAATTCCACCAACCACCTCCCCCACCCACGTGAACTCAAGCAGCTAACTGCACTGTATTAGAGCCAGGATGGGAGAGCTGTATAGCACAGTTGGTAACGTCCCTGCCTCTGATTCAAAAGCTGCAGGTTCCACAATGTGGATACAGAAGGCCTGTGTGTCTAACACAGCCAAATTCAGCGCCCTTTAAAGGCAGATAGTATGGTAGAGATTCTGGGTCAAGCTATGGAGTGGACAGAAAGTTGGAACCTCTGCTATCATGACCCTTAGCTCCAGACCACAATGTGCGTGGAAAAGTGCCACAGCAACTTAGTGAGGAACTAGGGAGGGTGTGGTTAGCTCAGTTGGCTGGACAGTCAGTGTGGATCAGACCCATGTCAGCAGCACCAGG